TCTATCTATCTATCTATCTATCTATCTATCTATCTATCTATCTATCTTTACCACCAAAAAAGGCACCAGGTCTTATTTTGGGGGGATGCCACCCACTGACTAATCTCACTTCTGCGCGTCGTCCCCGGCCTCCATTTCACTGTCTATGGCCAATAACAGAATTCCGGATCGATCCAGAGCTTTCTTATCGACTCCAGAGACCTTTAGGAAAACCTTGCTGGCTACAGAAGAAACGGGTTGGCCAGGCAGGTGTCGGGTGTATGCAAGGCCTGGTTACACCTGTCCAAAGGTAAGTAGTAAGGCAGCTCCGCCCACCCATCCATTTTCCACCCTAGGTTAATCTTTACCCGTCTACTCTGGACTGGGTGGGGTCTTACTTAGGGCTTATTTTGGCGGTTAGGGCTTATATCGGGCGCACGTGTTAAAAAAACCCAAGTTAGGACTTATTTTCAGGGGATTAATGCGCACCCATTTTTGCAAAAGTGGGAAACCAGCAACCGTTCAATCACAAGCTGACTTTGAAATTCCCATTTTCTCCCAAATGCACCCTAGTTTTTGTTTTGTTTTTTAAATAAGCAAAACAAAATGCTACATTCAAATGATAAGAGACCGTCCAAAAAAAAGCAAGGTGTAAGAGAAATTTGAATTTTGGAGGAAATTACTCTTTGCCAAACAAACAGGATTTATATCCAGAGCGTTGTGACCTGGGAGGGGGAAAAAAATAAATCCCTAAGTGTGCAAACACACACTTCCTTGACAAACTTTGCTATTTTTTATTTTTTTTTAATGAGCCTACGGGCAACATTTATTGGTCGGTGGCCTTTATTTTTAAGCCCTTTCCATTGGCCGAAGGGCTCGTGCGTTGGTTCCTGGAAAGGCAGTTTCAGGATATTGAAGATCCTGGCTAGAGAAACGAGTTTTAAAATTAAATAAAAAAATAAAATAAAATAAAAGCAACTTCCTTGTTGGAGGACAAAACCGGCATATTGTTCTGCCTTCGCCTCCCCAACGTTGCAAAACGAGGACAAAAGATCCAGGGGAACAAAGGGTTAAATTTTAATTTTTTATTTTCCCTTTTTTTGTTTTTGTTTTTGCCAGGGCTGCAAATTTCACCCCAAAAGAAAGTGGTTTTTTTTGGGGGGGGGATTCCTTAGAAGACAAAATCTCTGCGCCTGGCAAATATTTGCAGAGTTAAAAAGATTTTTTGCAGCTTGGCAGTGGATTTATGCTTGGTTGTCTACGCTACGGCATTCCAGTAAATGTATTTATTTATTTGTCAATTTATTTATTTGGGGTTTTTTTGGCTTCCCGGGATCCCTGCGAAAGGGACGAGTTTGGGGATTTTGAATCGGAGTTTGATCCAGCTTTCAGTTGCATCGTTTGATCTGGCATTATTCTGGACGCCAGGATCTGGTTTAACTGGAAGGACTGAATGCCGGAGGCTATGCGAAGAATAACCTAAAAAAAAAAAACAGAATTTTTTTTTTTAAACCTTCAGAAATTGTGGGTGCTCCATGGCTGGAGGTTTTTAAAGAAGAGACCGGACAATCCCTAGTCTGTTTGAGAAGGGGGCTGGACTAGAAGACCTCCAAGGTCCCTTGCAGCTTTGTTATTCTGCTATTCTTTGTCCTTCCTTCCTCCCTCCTTCTCCCTTCCTTCTTTTTCTTTTTCCCTTCTCCTCTTTCCCTCTTTCTCTCCCTCCTACCTTTCTCTGTTTCTCTTCCCCTCTACTTCCTTCCTGCTTGCCTTCCTTTTCATTTTCCTCCCTCCTTCTTCCTTCCTTCCTTTTCTTTTTCCCTTCTCCTCTTTCCCTCTCCTCCCTCCTTCCTTCCCTCTCTCCCCCCTCCTACCTTTCTGTTTCCACTCTACTTCCTTCCTTCCTTCCTTCCTTCCTTCCTTCCTTCCTTCCTTCCTTCCTCCCTTCCCTTCCCTTCCCTTCCCTTCCCTTCCCTTCCCTTCCCTTCCCTTCCCTCCTTCCTCCCTCCCTCCCTTCTCCATCACTGGAGGCTTTTAAGAAGAGACTGGACTGCCACTTGTCTGAAAATGGTATAGGCTTTCCTGCTTCAACCAGGGGGTTGGACTAGAAGACCTCTAAGGTCCCTTCCGACTCTGTCTGGCTCTATTCTGATTCCAATTCTGAAAAATCTGGAGGGGCGTCACTTTTTTCATAACATGGATTTTGACAGCACGAACCTTTACGAGATTCTCTTCGACGGAGAGGAGGATCTGGATTCCGGACACAGCCCCCTTGCTGGAAACTCCGGCGTCCACACCCTCCTTCAAGACCATCCCTACGGCCGCCTTCCAAATAAACCCGAGGACTGTCCAGCTGCCCAGCTCCAGGTAAGGCCCCAAATCTCGTAGAAAGACCTTGATGGACAACACTCGTTTAGCGACGGTTCGCAGTTACATGGGGGGGGGGGAATACTCGTATTTACGATGCAGCCAGAAACAAAAACCAAAACTCATCCATTGCTTTGTACCCGTTTTGTGTCCCTCGCTCAGCGTCTTCCCGACGATGACCCGGAAGGCCTTTTCCAACTTCGGATCGACCCCAACGAGGTCTACCATCCCAGGAGCTCGGAGACCGCCGGCGACGTTTCCCCGA